GTACTCCTTTTATATTTTTAATAAAAAAAGATTTGAATGCATACCTGGATGATTTTCATTTTGCAGGCTGAGTACTACTAAATGCGATCTTATTATGAATATTATGTTTGGAGTCATTCACTGTGGGTTCAAGTAATAGAGGGTTTTTTTAAAAAAATTCTAAGATTAGACGTTTTATGAGCAGCAAACAGTTTATCAGCCAGACAATGATGTTAGTTGCTAGATATTTTCTTGAGCCCTTTTAATATCTAGCACTAGGAAGGAGCTTCAAATTTGCCACACTAAAATATAAAATTAACAATTAATTAGAATTACTTTTTTTCTATCTTGGTAGGACATTAAATTAGAAAAAGTTGCATAAATTGTTTTATAAAATTAATACTGAATATAGATGCAAGCCATCATGAAATATTTTGGTTTTTATACCTTCTAAGTGTCTTGATGAATTTGCACTAAAAGTAGGGCTTCTCTTCGGATCAACATCTGTCACAAATAAAACATTGAAATGTATTGTCAGTAGGTTTTATTTCAATTAAATATGAGGATGAAAAGCCTAACATTTCACAGTATTTTCCTGTATCTTGTACCATAAGATTTTTGTACTATTTGTTCCCAAATTATGTTCAATCTGAGAACATTCTGGGTTTGCAAGAGTCAGATTGCAGTCATATTTGCATTTCAACCTGCTTTAGGCAATTGCCTGATTATATTAACCATATTTCTAATGAATATTACTAATATACTGCATTTGACATTCAAATTAATGTACAACCTGAACTCATCCATCCAGTCCCAAAGGATGTACTTTCTTTCCATCTTTGAAGTAAATATTTTATTTTTCTCCCCAAAACCACTTTCCCTCTTACTACCATTCTCTTACTGTGCCTCAGTAAGAATTAGTCCAACAGAATCACTGCCCTCATGTGGCTGGTATTGCTGCTTCTGCTTTCATGTCAGAAGCAATGAAGCACTTATGGGTTGGAAAGGATTAGATGGTGACATCACCATTGCCCAGTTGAGGGCTCTTTCATGTCCCCATTAATTGCCAACCAAAGTGGTACTTATTTATCTACTTGTGATTACTTGCTTTCAAACGGTTGGTGGGCAGGAGCTGGAATGAAGGCTAGGAGCTCACTCCATCACACAGCAGCACTCGGGTGTCGAATGCAGGCTTGTTGATTGTCAGCCCAGCATTCTAACCACATGAGTCACCAAGGTTTACCGCAGAACTAGCATTACATGCTGTTGTTGAGGAGTGAAGAGGGTGAAAAGAAAAGGGATTTTTTTCATTCTCTCTTGCCTACCTTCCCACCCCCACTGTTAGCTAACAGCAGTGCTCCACCTTCCCAACTCTTATCACCCTTCTTGTACCTCCCTTATTTCTGTGTTTTTTAGAGAGCACTACCATCGCCCTTAGAAGTATTCATGATTGATTTCCAGGTACAAATGGCTTGTCCCATACTTGCCCTTTCTTATAGCTCCTACAAAGTCAGACAATACAATTAGCATAAGGAAAAGTTAAATTAATTCATGCATTCTCAGCCCAATCTTGTGCATGTTTGCAAATAGTATTACTTGGTAAATAGGTACTTATTACCAAGTAAAGTAAAAACAATCTAAATAATCTCATCCTTTGGCCATGGATTATTTTATTTTTCATTAGGATCCATTCCCAATTCATAGTTTTATTTAGGCATCATTATTTGTTCAGTTTCAGTGTTGCCCAAATCCAAGTGTTTGGTTTGTTTGTTCTTGAATTCTTTTTTTTCTTTTTTTAGTGAAGCATTACTGCATCAAATTGTTATTCTTAGGTCTCATCATGTTTATAAACCTCCAAATGATCCTCTTTGTTTTCAGTGAATATTCTTTTGTTTTAGTTCCATTTCCTTATAAAATTAATCAATTACAACTTGATTAACCCATTTTGCTTTCTTCTTCATCTCAGTTCAAAGTACAAGAAAGTGCAGTTTCAGATCATTCTCATTAACTAGGGCTCACTACTTCTTTTAGTTGTAGCTTAATTGTACCTCCTACTCATTTAATGACTGAATCATACTGATTAATTCCTAACTGATATTATTATGGTTCTTCAGACTGTGTCAGATTGTTTTTAATGGTCTTTTGTTTTATATCATTCTCCTACAAAGTTAGAGAAGATAATTAGCATTTCTTATAGTAGACAAGCAATGAGTAAAATGTCACATGAATTCTAACAATGTTCTTCAAGTTCTATCTTGTTGGCATGGCTGCTCTTTTCAATTTTCTGAATTTCCCTCATATGTTTGATACTGTTCCCTGATCTGCATCAACAAAAATAAGCTGCTTTATGGATTGTATTTTTTGTATCCTGCTTATCCTATATATAGTTTATTTTGATATTTATATTGCCCACCTACTAAGGTCCTCATATTCATGTTATTCATAGTGAATGTTGAAAATAAATAGAATATAGAAAACTGTGTTAACCTTTGTCTGGTGCTGTTCTGCACCAGTCAATTTCTTCTGTAAATCCAAGATTTTCTATTTGTCTGTTTTTTGGATTTCAGGCACTAATAGATAATCCTGTGTCCTTTTTTATACTTGCATTTTGCATCTTTTGCAAATTGTTCTTACTAAAATGGTCTTTGGTACAGTTGTTGGCTTTTCTTTTACAGAGCTGTCTTCAGTTTTCCATAACTTCTCTGAAGGTCCAGCATTCAATCTTAAATCACAAGCAGCATAGTTTGCATACATGATGTTTCAATTTCAAATTGAGTTTGATTTTAAAATTCAACAAAGGTAGATAGGTAGGTAGTAGGTAGGTAGGTAGGATTTCATAATGTGAATGCCAAGACAGAAAAGGCTTTAGGCCCTAGGACCATGATGGTGAATCTATGGCACGTGTGCCACAGTTGGTACGCGAGCTGTCACCAGAGCTCAACTGCACTGCACATGCCCACACGTGCCTCTCGCCGGCCAGCTGATTTTTAGGATGTGCAGGGGGTGGGGGCATGCGGGAGATGTGGGCACATATGGAGGAGGTTGTGGGCACATGCATGGGGTGGGGGCACACACATGCCCGGGGTGGGGGAGAGCATGGGGTGCAGCACATGTGTTCTGGAAGTGCGGAAAAAGGTCTGTTTCTAGTCTCCGGAGGGCCTTCGGAGCCTGGGGGAGGCCATTTTTTCCCTCCCAGAGGCTCAAGGAAAACCTCTGGAGCCTGGGGAGTGCGAAAACAGCCCACCTCCAGTCGTGGTGCATGTTGCTAAAATTTTTGAATCCCACCCCTCACACGTTTGCATGGGGGGGCAAGGGGGCGCGTGGGATGTCATGTGCGCATGCATGGGGGTTGTGTGTGCGTGCATGGGGGTGCACATTGCATTATGGGTACTGGCATGCATGCTCACTTTCTCATGTGCACACGTGCGCTTTTGGCACACAAAGAGAAAAAGGTTAACCACTGCCCTAGGACTTACCAGGTGTAGCTCCCTAGATGACTGAATCCATGATATACCCACTCTGTTGGATCTGGTGGGACAGGATGAAATTGGGAAGAGAAGGTCCTTCCAGTAATCCTCTAACAGTCCAAAAACTCCATGTCATGTACAGTCATGGCCGTAAATGTTGGCACCCCTGAAATTTTTTCCAGAAAATGAAGCATTTCTCACAAAAAAGTATTGCAATAACATATGTTTTGCTATACACATGTTTATTCCCTTTGTGTGTATTGGAACAAAACCAAAAAAGGAAGGAAAAAAAGCAAATTGGACATAATGTCACACAAAACTCCAAAAATGGGCTGGACAAAATCATTGGCACCCTTTCAAAATTGTGGATAAATAAGATTGTTTCAAGCATGTGATGCTCCTTTAAACTCACCTGGGGCAAGTAACAGGTGTGGGCAATATAAAACTCACACCTGAAAGCTGATAAAAAGGAGAGAAGTTCACTTAGTCTTTGCATTGTGTGTCTGTGTGTGCCACACTAAGCATGGACAACAGAAAGAGGAGAAGAGAAAAGTAAGACTACAGTTTGCCAACATGTACTTGAGTAAGCCAAAATCCTTCTGGGCAAATATCTTGTGGACAGATGAGACCAAGATAGAGCTTTTTGGTAAAGCACATCATTCTACTGTTTACCGCAAACGGAATGAGGCCTACAAAGAAAAAAACACAGAACCTACAGTGAAATATGGCGGAGGTTCACTGATGTTTTGGGGTTGTTTTGCTGCCTCTGGCACTGGGTGCCTTGAATGTGTGTAAGGCATCATGAAATCTGAGGATTACCAACAGATTTTGAGTCACACTGTAGAGCCCAGTGTCAGAAAGCTGGGTTTGCATCGGAGATCTTGGGTCTTCCAGCAGGACAATGACCCCAAACATAAGTCAAAAAGCACCCAGAAATGGATGGCAACAAAGTGCTGGAGAGTTCTGAAGTGGCCAGCAATGAGTCCAGATCTCAATCCCATTGAACACCTGTGGAGAGATCTTAAAATTGCTGTTGGGAAGAGGCGCCCTTCCAATAAGAGAGACCTGGAGCAGTTTGCAAAGGAAGAGTGGTCCAAAATTCCGGGTGAGAGGTGTAAGAAGCTTATTGATGGTTATTGGAAGCGACTGATTTCAGTTATTTATTCCAAAGGGTGTGCAACCAAATATTAAGTAAAGGGTGCCATTGATTTTGTTCAGCCCATTTTTGGAGTTTTGTGTGACATTATGTCCAATTTGCTTTTTTCCCTCCCTTTTTTGGTTTTGTTCCAATACATACAAAGGGAATAAACGTGTATAGCAAAACATGTGTTACTGCAATACATTTCTGGCAGGAATACTTCATTTTCTGGAAAAAATTCAGGGGTGCCAACATTTACGGCCATGACTGTAGGTTATTGTAGTCTAAATTTTAGGATCTTAACAAGGAATATTCTTTATTTATCTATAATATTTAATAGTACATTTAATATACATTTTTTCATTCTTTACTGTGACTCTGGCAAATAAAATATTTTTGTATTCATGTTTTAACAGATTAAGGATTTTGTGTGGACAAATACGTGTACATTTGAGGCTGGACAACAACCAACCTCATAGTCAGATATGTTATTCCCATGGAAACAGATGTTTCTGCTTTTCTCTGTTGGCTGCTTTGGAGGTAAGGATATATGCTAATCATGTTTTTCCAATGAAATTATTAAAATAATAAAACTAAGCTCTATAGCCTAATAAAATGTGCATGGTAACAATAAGTATTAATGTGTTATTAAACTAGGTTAATCATTTAGATTTCAGAAGACTGGGAGCAAATGTGTGTGGTTCAGAGACTCTTTAAAGTACCACTGAATAAATGGTGGAAATATGACATCAGGATATGAATGTAAAACGGGATGCAGTGACTGACATATATTTCCTTAAATAAGAGTAATCCTTGCAATAAGGCTACCATTGGTCACTTAATGGACAAATAAAATTTTAAGCAATAAATATTTATTTATTTATTATTTATTTATCTATCTATCTGTCTATCTATCTATCTATCTATCTATCTATCTATCTATCTATCTATCTATCTATCTATCTATCTATCAGATTTGGAGACCACCCATCTCACGCTCAAATGGAGACAAATCCTTAATATTCATATTTATCCCATGACTCAACTTACTTCATTCTTTACCAATCTTATTATAAGTATTTAATAATAATACTCTTAATTTAAATTAATTAACAGTATCAATTTATTTATATTATGAAAAAGACGGTTCTTCTGCAATAGCTTCCTATTACCAGGTTTTTCTGCATTTTCCTTTTATAACTGTTTTGGACACACATAACCCTTTGAAAATGTATGTCTGAAATATGACCCATGGGTGTTCTTTTTACATCTAATCCTATTTTATATTGAAACCCAAATTTTAAGAAAAAATACTTCAAAAACTTCTTCACTGATTTTAGTGAAGTTTGGAAGTCCAGGAATCTGTACTTTCAATTTCTTTTAATTGCACATACATTAAAAGTACTCAAGCCTTTAATCATTTGAAACTCTGAAAACCTGAGCAACTTTCAGATAGTTTGCCTTTTCACAATTACTAATATATATCTATTATTCATCTGATAGAACATTGCTTTTAATATTGTACATAAGTAGTTTGATATGAGAGGGCTATACCCTCATTGCTGGTTTTTTATTTCCATATATGGAAATTGAGACATCTGCTAACAATTTACTGCCAATCAAAATATGCATCTCATTCCACTTTTTCCCATCATTACATTTAAACATGTTTTTAACTATAGTTCTATACTATTACTTACATTATTCAGGACGGTTTATTGTATAAATTTACTCTAACTTTATACTTCACTCACAAAAATGTTAAAATGAACCAAGTGAAGGAATAATTTAAATAAATTCCCTATCAAAGCTGAAGGAAACCTTCCTCCTGAGACTAATTATTTTGTATATTTACCAGTAGGTTTTACTCATTCCAACTATCAGTTGCTCTTTCCTGTCATGTTTTTTATCTCAAAAGAAGGACAAAGTTCTGATAGTTAATTTTGAATATCTTGAAAGTCTATCTATCTATCTATCTATCTATCTATCTATCTATCTATCTATCTATCCATCTATCAGATTTGGAGACCACCCATCTCACGCTCAAATGGAGACAAATCCTTAATATTCATATTGATCCCATGACTCAACTTACTTTATTCTTTACCAATCTTATTATAAGTATTTAATAATAATACTCTTAATTTAAATTAATTAACAGTATCAATTTATTTATATTATGAAAAAGACGGTTCTTCTGCAATAGCTTCCTATTACCAGGTTTTTCTGCATTTTCCTTTTATAACTGCTTTGGACACACATAACCCTTTGAAAATGTATGTCTGAAATATGAGCCATGGGTGTTCTTTCTACATCTAATCCTATTTTATATTGAAACCCAAATTTTAAGAAAAAATACTTCAAAAACTTCTTCACTGATTTTAGTGAAGTTTGGAAGTCCAGGAATCTGTACTTTCAATTTCTTTTAATTGCACATACATTAAAAGTACTCAAGCCTTTAATCATTTGAAACTCTGAAAACCTGAGCAACTTTCAGATAGTTTGCCTTTTCACAATTACTAATATATATCTATTATTCATCTGATAGAACATTGCTTTTAATATTGTACATAAGTAGTTTGATATGAGAGGGCTATACCCTCATTGCTGGTTTTTATATTTCCATATATGGACCTTGAGACATCTGCTAACAATTTACTGCCAATCAAAATATGCATCTCATTCCACTTTTTCCCATCATTACATTTAAACATGTTTTTAACTATAGTTCTATACTATTACTTACATTACTCAGGACGGTTTATTGTATAAATTTACTCTAACTTTATACTTCACTCACAAAAATGTTAAAATGAACCAAGTGAAGGAATAATTTAAATAAATTCCCTATCAAAGCTGAAGGAAACCTTCCTCCTGAGACTAATTATTTTGTATATTTACCAGTAGGTTTTACTCATTCCAACTATCAGTTGCTCTTTCCTGTCATGTTTTTTATCTCAAAAGAAGGACAAAGTTCTGATAGTTAATTTTGAATATCTTGAAAGTCCTCAAGATTTTGGACATCAAACTATAAGAGCAAAACTGACTTTGAAAAGCAGCTGACTGTTTAAAAGCTGGAAGACATGATTGTAATGCAGCTCCAATTTTTAAATATATATTCTTGATGTACTGAGTACACATTAAAAAAGGGCAGAGTCCAGGTCCCTCCAAATAAACAAAGCCATCTATCAGGATCTAGATCTGAAACAGATCTTCTCTGTTATAGTCTCAGCCCTCTTGAATGATATCCCATCAGAGATCCATATCTGAAAATCTTTGAAAACTGAGCTCCTTCTCCAAGGCTTAGGGAGAGAGGCGAGAGTGATTTTTGAACCCCTATTGTTGTTTTGCAGAGGAGTGGGGCAGTAGTGGGTTTCAATTTACTTTGCTACCAGTTTGTGCATGCGACGCTTCTGCGCATGCAGAGAAGCGTCCGGGCAAATGGGTGGAGCCTCCTGCCGCTGCTGCTACCAGTTTGCCCGTCCCGGGTCGAACCAATAGCAACCCACCACTGGAGTGGGGCTTTCATTGATGATCTTTCTCCTTTTGCCTTATTGTTCTCATCTTTACAAAGTAACTCACTCAGAGTCATAAGGGTCAGGAGACTTCTAAATTTAATAACATAAATAAAATGTCTTTCTGTCTTCGCCCATAATAGATATAATTTCATAAGTCTGTTTTCTTGTAGCTCTTTTAAAAACCAACAAACTGTGATGAAGACATTTCTTATAAAACTACTCAAATGAAGAAAGTAACATGTTTATTGATAATAATAGAAAACTGTTAATAGTCTTTAGGCCAAATCTTAGGTGATGTCATAAAACAACAGTTTGTAATTCTGTAAAAAATGTCTTAACATATTTTGTAATCTGAAAGACATTCCAGAAGTTTTCCCAAATGCTGCCAAGCAAGCATAGGAATAAAACAATAGATATTATGATTTACTGTACATAAAACACATTTACAATATTCTTGCCATTCAAGTATGGAGGATCATTAATTATAATGAGAAATAACCAAACTTCCTACAAACTGTGCAATCTAAGCAGTTTTCTTAGGGTTGATAGAAGGGTTGTCATTTAGGTTCAGTAATTTGTTTAGACTACAATTTTCAATTGGATATTAATCTTGTTTTTAATCATTAGGCACTCTTTTTTATGTAAATACAGGCAGTGTATAAATGTCCCTCTTGTAATAAATCATATTTTAGTTTACCAACAACATGTAAATTATTTATAATTATTTACAAACTTATAAACTTCAACTTTTCTAAGTTAAAACCTATATACTGTATTTTTTGGAGTATAAGACACACCGTAGTATAAAACACACTTTAGTTTTTGGTAGGAAAATAAGAAAAAAGCTGATTGGCAGGTGGATGGTCTCCCATACCCCCAATCAGCTATTTCCAGAGGTGAATTTTAGCAACAGGTTCCTTGGTTGTGAGCTCTGTGCCTTGCTTTTTTTTTTTTTTTTGCTTTTTTTTGCTTTTTTTTCTGCCTCTGAAACTTTTGAAACTCTGTTTCAGAAAAAAACTTTTTCCTGCCTCTGAAAGCCTCCGAAACAGAGCTTCAGAAAAAAAGCCTCTGAAGCTCTGTTTGGGAGCTTCTTTTCTGAAGCTTCGTTTCTGATGCTTTATTAAGCCTCTGAAACCTCCGTTTGAGAAGATGGGCGGGGCTACATTCAGAATATAAGACGCACCCAGATTTTCACCGTCTTTTTTGGGGGGGAAAATCTTATACTCCAAAAAATACAGTATTCAAGTCATTCTTTTGGCTTAATATGTGTGTATACCTTTTAACTATTAAAACGTCAGCCAGTTTCATCTTTGTCGCTATTATTCTTGTATTCTGTCAACTTTAAATCCATATCCACAACCGTCCGATTTTCATTAATATCCTATTCTATCTCTTCTTTTAAGCCCATTTTTATTGTATCAGGCAGTCTAGAGAAAACGTTCTGTGTACATGGTGGTCAAATATCCTTGAATTCTTCTGAGTTAAAATACTTTTCTCCATTCTGTAATATTTAATTCTTTCTGGTTTCCTTTAGTAACCAACCTTCAAAATCTCCTCTCATTGTGTTTTTCTCCCATCCAGAACATTTTGCCAGAAGACATTTCTTACACTTAAACTTAAAATCTTCATATATTTTTAATACGTTTTTAAACAAACTATAGGAAGTATTCTTATAAGTATTTCAAAATGTTACTTCCAGTCCATCTGTCCCTTAGTCCATTTAAAAGCTTTCTAAAATCAACATTCTAATCACCCTTTTGCTGCTTATTTTGCTGCAGAAAAGCTTTTCTTTAATTTATAAACTCACATAAAGATTATTTCACAGTGGGTTAAAGGAAAATTCCCCAGTGAAATGAAACTTGTCTTTCTGAAGGATCTTAATATCCAAGAAGCAATTTACAAGCCATTTCCAGTAAAGGTGATTCAAAGGGGAAGTGAGCATACCCAGCATCCTTTTAAAAGGTCTGAAAAATAGTCTGGAGGAAGATGATTCTCTCAGGTCCCAGAACTCTAAAATCCACT